CAAAGTGTTCTTCTATGGCTGGCATTTCACTCTGTGTAATGTACTTATAACTAATCTATATTGTAGCATATGTTCGAATATCATACCTAAGGCTGAGAAAAATCCATACACAAATATGTATATATAGATTTGAATAAACATTTTGTTTATCCATTCATCTGTCAACTTCCATACTCCAGGCCAGTTTATCCTGCTCTATCCCATCTTTATCATCAAAAACAAATGAACGTTTGCATCAGGACACAGGAGACCTAAAGTCTACTTACTTCTATTATGCTTTTCACATGCTCATGGAAAATCTATAACCTAAACAATTTTATTTGTAAAAATGGTAATGAGGGGCTGAGGAAATGGCTCAGTTGGTAAACTGTTTGCTTTGAAAGCACAAGGATCTGAGTTTGGTCCTTAGGACACACATAAAAAGCCAGGCACAGCAGTACATGCCTTGGGTCCAGCACCAGGGAAGCAGAAGATCCCTGAGGTTTACCCACCAGCTAGGCTAATTGAAATGACTAGGGATTCTGTGTCAGATAGATAGATAGATAGATAGATAGATAGATAGATAGATAGATAGATAGATGAAAGGTGGTAAGAAATGGAGGAAAACAATACTGACACCTGGCCTCCATGAATACATAAACACATGCATGTGTACCCTCACACACATGTACACACACATCCACATAAAATGGTAATAAAACCACTCATGCATAAAGGTATAGAATAGCATGCTTTCTTTCATTAGTGAATCATGAATCCTTGACCATTTCCTCAAATTCTAATATAAATGTATATGCACCTACATATACCTTAAGGTTTTCCCATATACCTTGAAAATAAGTCTTATCATTTCAGAGTTCCATAACAACTCCATAATCAACTCCAAATAGCACATAACTGTGACAAAGTTTACAAATAGAGATGGTGTTATTAGGGCTGTGTAGAACAAATTACCAGCTTCTTATGATACAAAATAAAATCCTTTGCCTTTGTCACCCATGCATATCTCATGCAGGCACACATGCATGCATACTCCACCTGCTGCTTCACAGTATGAAGTTTGCCCAGTCTATGGTGAAGAATTCAAGACATGAACATGGGAAAAGACAGATTTCTGCCTCATGGAATTCTATATCTAGGTCACAGCCTACTCATCCAGAAAGAGAGTCCCTTCCCACATCGCTGTGTGGGTACTACCTGCCACTTAAAATGATGACAGAATGTACTTGGTGCTGGGCACTGTACTGGGTGTCTTATGTGTGTCCTTTCTTTTAATCCTCATGACTCTGGTGAAATTGTTCCTCCTATCCCCACCTTCTTTTTCTTGCATCGACCTGCAAGGCATCACAAGTTTTCTCTGCAAAGAGGGTAAGGCAATATTTTGAACCTGGCAGTCTTACAGATTCCTTCATCCCTCCTCAACACTATGCTGCCTCCTAGTGCTTGTGGACAGTCCTCCCCACCCTGTTGCTGGCTAAAATGCAGGTTTGCAAAATTCTCACAGGTGTACTAACTAGTTCGGAATTCTATAAACATGGAGCTTTCAATATGGTTAATAAAGAGAAGACAGAAGATAATCAACAGAAGCAATGACAACCTAACAAAACGTATCTGAGAGTCATGAGACAGTTTACACAGTCTGCTGTGGTAATCCAAAAGAAGCAGCAACATTTCTTGATGGCACCTATGAGACAACAGTAAGGTAACCTTCTAATACAATGAGAACAAGTGCTATGATCAACTTTATGTTTTTAAAGAAAACTTGCCATCTTTTGTGTATAAGTCAAAAATTTTGACAAATACATACAATTGTGTGACCACCACCAAAAGTAAAACACAAAATACCCCCTAAACTAAAAAAATGTCTGTGCCCCTTTGCAGTCAGCATCCAACTCCAGGCTACAGCAGGCACTTGTGTCTTCTGCACTGACATACTTCTCTTTTCCAGGATATCCTCCAGCAAATGGAATCACACAATGCATAGTCTTTTTCATCTGGCTTCTTGCATTAGGTTAAAGTACTTGACATCCGGTAAATATCCTTTCTATTGCTCCATAGTAATCCAAGATGTACCACAGTTATGTATCAATTTACCAGCCAGGGGGCATTTGGGTTGCTTCCATTTTTTTTTTGATATACGAATGAGGTGACTATGAATATTTACATATGTGTTGTGTATGAACATGAATTTTCATTTCTCTGGGCAAGTTAATAGTGAGATTTCTAGATCAAATATGAAATGTGTATTTCCTTACAAGAAAAGCTCTCATTTTTCAAAGCATCTATATAATCTTAACTCATACCTAGAATGTGTGTGTTGGGGAAACCCAAATCCTTCTCAGCATTTGGTTTATTGTCAGTTTTTATTTCAGCCATTCTCATTCTTATTCCATGCTATCTTTTGCCATTATTGCTTTGTTTTACATTTTCCAAATGAGCAATAATGTTAAGCACCTTTCCAGGTACTATGTGTCATCTTTGATGAAGTGTCTATTCAAACCTTTACATGTTTTTAAATTAAATTGTCATTTTCAATTGAATTTAGAGCCTTTTATTGTTCAAAAAATATGTCGTTTATCACTAGGCATTTGTAAACAGTTTATGGATTCCATGTTTATTTTCTTAACACTGTCCAAAGCAATTTTGATTTTGTGATTGTTTTATGGGTTATAAAAGCCTCCAGCAGGGTTGGGGAAGTGGCTCAGAGGTTAAACCACTTGCTTTCTAGCTGAGAGCCTGAGTTCAATCTCACACAAACTTTAAATACTTAAAGAGGAATCTATAAGAAAGAGCAGATCACAGAAAAAGTTTCTGTGTGTACAATTTACAACAAATGATATAGTCATCCAGATGTGATGGCCCATGCCTATATCCCAGTACTCAACAGGTTGTGACAGGAGGACTGCAACTAGTTTGAGGACAGATGGCACTACATAGCAATTTCCAGGCCAGTCGGGTACGCAAACTAAAACCCTGTCTCAAAAAACAAGATTACACCCAACTGAATTAATTTATTTATTTGCCGGAAAGGTCAGGAGGACTGCATATATGCTAAGTCTACCACTGACCTAAACACCCCTCCCCTCAAACCCCTCATAAATAAAGCTTTACTGATGGTTATTTTTCCTGATGCTATGACCAAGTATCTAACAGAAAACCACTTACAGGTTGAAAGGCTTATACTGACTCACAATTTGAGCAAGCAGAATCATGGCAGAAGAGGGACTGTGCCACCTCAGGAAGCAGAGATGAATGATGGTGCTGTAACCTTCTTATTCCTCCCTTTGTACTCGGGCTGGGAATCCACACCTGGATGGTGCTGTGCCCACATTCAACATGGTTCTTCTTCCCTCGGCTATACCCGTACAGGAACACCTTCACAGACCCACTGGGAGGCATGTCTTCAGGGTGATTTCTAATCCAATCAAGTTGACAGTGAAGATAACCATCACACTTCTATATTAACTACCGATCTCTCTCTCTCTCCTGTGTGTGTGTGTGTGTGTGTGTGTGTGTGTGTGTGTGTGTGTGTGTGTGTGTCTGTAGCACTGGCTGGCCTAGAACTTGCTTTGTAGAGCTGGCTAGCCTCAAACTCACAGAGATCATCCTGCTTCTGCCTCCCAGTGCTAGGATAAAAGGTATTCACCACCACACTTGGCTCCTTTGCCCATTTTTTTCAGTATGTTTGTTTTTTGTACATTAAGGTTGAATTTGCTACAAGTTTTGAGCACATGGTTTTCAAATATTTTCTCCTAGTGTATGTGATGTCTCTTCACTGTTTCCTTTGCTATGCAGAAACTTTTCAGTTTTACATAATTCCATTTCTTTATCCTCTGTGCTTTTCTTCAGTGGTTTTACAGTATTGAATCTTGTGTTTGAGTTTTTATTTTTACTTGACTTCTGAATATTTTTGTTGTTGTTGCTATTGTTTCTAATTTGTTATACATGGCTGTTTGCCTGCGTGTATATCTGTGTACCATGTGTAAGTCTTGTGCTCACAGAGACCAGAAGCGGGTGTTGGATACTCTGTAACTGGAGTTATAGATGATTGTGAACCACCATGCTTGGAGCTAGGAATTGAACCCTGGTCCTTTGGAAGAGCAGCTGGTGCTCTTAAACTCTGAGCCATCACTCCAGCCCCTTTACCTGACTTCTGTATTTGATGTGTGATGAGCCAAATTTAATTCTTCCACATGTAGTTATTCTCGACATCTTTTATTGAAGACATCGACCTTTTCCCCACTGTCACACTTTTGGGCCCCTTGTTGAAAAATCAGTTCGCTGAAAATGTGGTGGGTATTTCTGGGCTTTGGGTCCTGTTCTAATGGTTGATGTACCTGCTTTTGTACCAGCACTGTGCTGTTTTCACTAGAATAGTTTTGTGACACATTTCCAAATCAAGGAGTGTAGTGACCTTCCTTGCTTTTCATCACAGAAAAATATGCAGACAATGGCGATACAGTGTTGATGGAGGAAGGTGTAGAGGAGGCCTGTTCTTGGTGGCACAGACCTGTAATCCAAACTACTTGGGAGGCTGAAATGGAAGGATTGCTAGTTCAGTGCCTGCCAGGGTTGCAATGTGAATTCAAAGCGAGTCTGGACAACTTAATAAAACCCTGACACAAAATAAAAAAAAAATAAAATAAAATAAAAATTTTAAATGTAGCTCAGTGGTAGAACATTTGCCTAACACACAAAAGGGTACTAGCCCCAGCAAAAATAAGAAGAGGGAAGAATGCTGTCTTCACACTTTGTCAAAGAAGCAATATGAGGTTTGAAGCATTTTAAGCAGTGGTATGTACTGACCAACTGGCTCTAGGAACACAGGCAGTCTGATGGTGAAGAGTCACTAGTCCCAGGCTGTAAGAATGCCAGGAAACAGCCCACAGAGAGGCTTACCTTAGTCAAAAAAATTCTCAAAACACCCTATATCAGGTTCTGTTTTATTTGCTTTGGTTTTTAAACAAAGATCATTTTTGCCTGACAAGCACTTGAAGGAGTGTTGCAACCACCATCCAGCATGGCAGCTGTGCTTACATGGTCCCTGAGTAGTCTGCTCTGTTCCTGATGGAGAAGGAGCTCCAAGTCAGAGTCTGCACTGTTGCGATGCCCAGTGGGACCACACAAACCAAACTAAACATGGTGTCTTGAAGATCCAAAAGTATTCTAGGGGAGAAGATGTACAACAGTTAATTTTCCCCCAGCAGCTTCTTTTCTTGCTACTTCAAAACTATTTAATACATGGTATTCAGTAATGTTTTTACTTATTAGTTCATTTAACAAGAAAGAGACATTGTGCTGTGTAATTTTGATTCTTTCAAGTACCTGAGTAATTTCTTCCTTCTATCTAGTTGCACATAGGCAAGGAAGGTGACATGTAACCTTGTGATTACAGTCCCTACTGACAAGTATTGCCTCTGTGGTAGGATTTTAAGCTAGCCTGGACTACACAGGCAGTTCCATGTTAACCTAGGACTGCACAGCAAGCAAGGCTTTATATGACAGACAAAGGAGAATTCTATTGCTGGGCCTGTTGGTCCAGTAGTGCGTAGCTCCTGAAAAGCTGAGGCAAGTGGACTGAGAGTTCAATGTCTGTCTGAGCTACAGAGATATCTGCAACCCTGAATGTCTTTAGTCTTTAATATTTGCAAAGCTTTAAACAAAGCTTTCTAGTACATATGATGGCTAGGAAAGTGTTATGATGGTGATAGAATTTTCTCAGGGTGACAGACAAGAACCCTCTGTCAGAAGGTTTACCTATTCTTGGAAAGCAGAGTCTAGAAAAGGTTTCTCAGAAAAAAAGTATATAAACAGTTCTGGAAAATGCAAACATGTCAGCTAGAAGGCTTCCATCTAGAATCATATGCAAACACTCCAGCCATATCTACCTCCCCTCTGAAAGCCTTGTCATGAAATGTTCTTGGTACTCTGATCTGATTACATTTGTTAGGGGTGGCCATACCTCTGAACTCTCACTCATTAAATATGCCCTTCACCTTCACTCCCACATGGTCCAAAAACTGATTGCTACCCACCCGCTTCCACTTTTCTTCTGCTTCTTGTAGGGTACTGAGGCAACCACCAAGGTCAGCAGCTAGACTACTCACCGCATCTAGACAGTAGCTTCATTGCTGCTCTGCCCAAATGCTCCAAGGAAAACTTTGTAGAAGCATGTGGTATTTTGTTGTACCAGAATTCTCTCTCTCATTTAAGAAAAATTCTCTGTGGAGTCAAAAACTGAGGACTAAATGAAGAACCAAGACTGTTCTCCCAGTTTCACAGACTTTAAGTGATATAACTTATTTTTATAATGATTACATTTCAAATCAACAGAATGTAGAAACTAATATAAAGAATACCCTATACCAAGGTATAATCAATGCCAAAAATAAAACATGATTTATGAACCAAAAAAAAATTAAGAAAAGAAAAAAAAAAAAACTCCTCTCCAGCTGGAGAGGTGGCTCAGCTGTCAACAGCTAGCCTTACAACCAAAAATTTAAGAAAATTCCTCTCCCCTCTTCTATAGCAGACCTGTCTCTGTCCTTAAGACTTGCTGGGGCCTAGCTGCCCTACTTCAGTCCTAACAGCCAGCTATTATTCAAACCTCATCAGAGGAAGTCATGCCTATGTGATCACTGCTGCCTCAGTGAGAGGCATGTGACTCACATGGTGCCTCTCAGGATCTGCCTGGGGACTTTGGATGTGCTGCTGGGACAAAGGTGCATATTTATTCACAGCCTGGAGCTGTTCAGTCAGTAAACCTGTGGGCTATACTATCAAATGGTAAAAGCTTGAAGAAGCCACAACAGAGAAGTCAAAATCTCCAGACCTCATATGAGATTCTTCACACATAACTAGGAGGTCCCTGTTCTGTTGAGGCTAGCCTGCACTACATTTCTGCCACTTGTAGCCACAAAAGACTGGAAATCATAGCTTTCCAGCTGGCACTTATGCCCACATTACTGTAAATTAGCTGCTTTGATCATGCTGGGTAAAGGTGGTATGTAATTGTCCACAATGGATTGAGACAAAGGGGTTTAAAGTAGCTGAGCACACATTTCCAGAATGAGAGCACCAGGTCATGACTGTATTTTTGCACTTGAGGCTGTAGGCACTTATAAACGGGAGGCATCACTTACAAGCCTTGACTGCTCATTGATTTGAGCCACATGACACACTAGATGGGAGCAATGGGTGCAAAATGCCAAGAGGTAATGGAGACCTAAGTTCCATTTGGAAACAGAATCATGTCTCTAATAAAAGGGAGAAAGGAAGTGGCCTAATCAAGCCTTTAGAGAATGGGGCACAGCTAAGTGCTGCTTGCTAGTTGCAGAATTATTACAATATGTGCTTTATGAAAAGGCCGGTTTCTGCTTGGCAGAGGCACCTCTGTGTTCTGATCTCAGTGTTTCATTAGCAACAGGAACCCATTATCCTTCAGAATTCTCTAGCTATAACAGATTCCAACTTCAGAAATATCAAGAAATTGGACTCCAGCTGCCAGGGTTCTCTCTGGGAGATGTTCTACCATTGCAATGGAACTGTCTTTTTCTTCTCCTGTTTCTCTGGGGAGAAGGGTCTGGAGAACACCTGGGATGATTTGCAGAGTCAAAGCCTCTGGTGAGCATGCTGACTTAGGCTCAGGAATGCTGGAGAGAAGCTCTGTAGGCAATGAGCATGTGCTGCTAAAGCATGGGCACCTGAGTTTGCATGCCAGCACACCTGTATCACCATGCTGAGGTTTGCAGGTGAGGATGATGGATGGGACTCTCTGGCTGCCAGCCTAAGGTTGGGTTTAATGAGAGACTCTGTCTCAAAACAGTAGAGAGTGATAAAGGACAGCCAGCATCCTCCTCTGGCCTTCATGCATGTATACCTGCACATGCATATAACACACACACATACACACACACACACACACACACACACACACACACACACACACACACACCTTAGGCTACATGCTGTTAAGCTTTTGTTGCAGTAATCATTGAATGGCTTCACACTTTCCAAAGTACCTGTGGGTTCCCATTACTTTACAGGCTGTCTTGAAGCTCTTCAAGATTTGTCTTTCAAGTTCTTTTATTTTCTCAAAACAGGGTTTTGCTTCAGTTGACCTGGAGCTTGTTACATAGCTCAGACTGCCTCAAACTTGGGGCAATCCTTCTGAGATTACAGGCATCCACCATGCCTGGCTTCTACTTTCTCAAGATTTATTCTTTCTCCATAATTTTATTCCAAGTCAAGGACATGACTACTGGAATATTGATGAACCCATTGACTAATTTGGCTAATTTGCTATCAGAATGACTTCACCTCTCATTTCCAACCTTACTATGGTGGTTTGAATGAAAGTGACCACCACAGGCTCATATATTTGAATGTCTGGTTTCCAGATAATTGGTGGACTGTCAGGAAGGATTGGGAAGTGTGGCCTTGTTGGAGGAGGTGTGTCACCCTCTAAAACTGTAAGCAAGCCCCTAACTAAATACCTCCCTTTATAAGTTGCCTTGGTCATGGTGCCTCTTCACAGTAATAGAACAGTAAGTAAGACACCAGCATTTTGAATGAATCTCCAGCATAAAAATAATTCTTAGGGCAAGCAAGATGGCTCTGTGAGCCACAGTTGATCCTGGGGATACACACAGTGGAGAGACAACTGACTCCCACTTACACCATGGCACGTGAACTCATTCATTCATAAGCTGGGTTTATGCCTTTTTCACCAAATATTTATAGCACATTTGCTGCATTAGGTTCTTGGGATACAGAGGAAACAATAATCTTGTTACTCAACAAGCCATACCTTTTAGCAGAAGCAAAGGAACCATAAACAAATGTATTTTAGTGAGTAATTATAATGATATTTCTCCTTATGAGAAAATTCCATGTACCCCATTTTCTCTCGTGATTTTCTCCTTTCAAAAAATAAATACCTAGCTGTAGGTAATAATATCCCCAAATATTACCATCTAGTACACCTCACTTTCTTAACTTACACCTGCTAAGTCATTTGCAAAGTCAGCTCTATGAAGTAAAGGGAGCATAATATATGTTATCATAGTAGCACCTCAAATTTTATTACACTTAGGCTCTTTCCTAACCACAAAGCTTAAGTGAAGCCTGCCTCCTCTCTACTCTCCTTTTCCCTATTGATAGCATCTCCAAAGGCATGAATTTACTGGGGCTGCAACCATGAAGTGACTTTTACTACCAGTGATAAAAACAGGCGGTTCTATCAATGGAGTTGTAAGCCATAAGAAAAGGCATGCTCGTGTGGGAAAGGGCCAAAGAAACTTCAGTCCTTCCTGGCAGGGTAGACTCTTTTGACTTAGAATCAAGAAAATTCACAGATACATAAACTGTTGCTACCTTGAAAGCAAAGGAAAATTTTCCCTTTTCATTAGGTCACATTTCTACAATGAATAGTTATCTAAGGGTGGGCATGGAAATACAGGCCTATAATCTCAGTACATGGGAGGCTTAGGCAGGAAATCCAAAATTGAAGGTCAGTCTATATCACATAGCAAGACATATATCAAAAACAGAAATAGGAATTGGGGAGGGGGTCTAGATTAGGAACCAATATTGCAGATTTTCCCCCAAGCTAGAAGTCTAAAAGAGTCAGCTTGGTTAGACCTCAGTAGGAGGCTTGCAGACAGGAAGTGATGTCCTATAGATACTGAACCTAGGACCTTGCACATGTTAGGCAGGCATTCTACTATGGGACACAATGACAGCCCAGGAAGTCATGCCCTTGCATGGTAGAGATGTATGGCAGAGAGAAAACATATACTTCTATCCCCTTTCTTCCTTTGCCATGTGTGTGTGTGTGTGTGTGTGTGTGTGTGTGTGTGTGTGTGTGTGTTAACACTAAAGATCAAACCTAGGCCTTCAACATATGTTGATGATGCACAAACTGTTTATCAATGAGCAATACCCAGAATGCCCGGCCTCTCTCTTACAGGACACTTATCCTGTCATACTGGCCCCACACTCGTAACCTGCTCCTAACTTACTCACTTTTCAAAGGCCCCAACTCCAAATATTGACCATTGTGAGATAGGACTTTAGTATATGAACTTTGAGGAGACTCAATTAAGTCCACAGTATCCTTTTTAACACGTTCCTTGCATTGATACTATTTTCCCCAACTACATTAT